AAAGCATACATACATGTGAATAGCGAGACGCATAAAAATGGTAAAAATTAGTTTGAAAAGATGCTTTTTAAGCTATTTAATAATGTAATATATGAAAAAACTATGGAGAATGAGATGAAACGCATTGATGTCAAGTTGATAAATTCGTAGGACAGGCGATATGGTACCGATGCCCTTATTGCTAGACCAAATTATCATAGCAGTGATATTTTGAATGAGAAACTGGTAGCAGTACAACTCTTGCGAACGGAAATTTTGATAAGACAAACCATCTACATTAGTCTTGCTGTCCTCGATTTGTCAAATATTCTTGTTTATCGTTTTCATAATACTGTGAACAACAAGTTCTGCAAGATATTGTATACCAACATCGACAGTCTGGCATATGCGGTAAAAAATATTGACGTGCATAAAATTATATGACGAAATATACATGAGATTGATACCTCGAACTATGCTATCCAAAATTCATTCAACACTCCAAGAGCCAATAAAAAGGTAGTACGAAAGATGAAAGATGAAAACACTGGAATCATGCTCGAGTTGGTTTGAGAAGTAAAATGTACAGTGTGAGAGTGCAGAATAAGAATCCAATCAAAAAGGCCAAGAGTTCTGTGCTGAAGGCAACAATCACATTTGACGATTACGTCAGATACTTTCGCGAAAATAAGATTTTGACACGATAACAGGAAAACATCAAATCTCGACATCATCAACTCTATAGTGCGATAGAGATAAAGATTACACTCAGCACGCATAACGATAAACGTTTTCTGTTAGCAAGAACAACTAATGAGCCCTCCAAGTCGCCGCAGGGGTGGTTCAAGTGGAAAAAGGTTTATATAAGCCAATCCTACAGTCATCCCAGCATAATCTAGCTTCAACTAGTGATCGACAATAGTTATAATTTGATCTTATTTTAAGTGAAATTGCTTCAATAAAATAATTTTTAACTTACAAAGGCGGCAATTGTATAGGATTTAACATTGTATGATATCTATCATAAAGTTGATTACTTTTTTATGATTTTTTCCAATACAAACAAATCACTTTAAAAATACTAAATGAACTATTTTATTTAAATATCCTTTACTCTACATACGAGGTCTGTCCGGAAAGTATCGGGCCTACCTTTATATTTTCGTGCTAGCTTTATCATCTGGTGGGTGGCATCCATCAAAGTAATCCCCACTTGATTGAATAACACGGTTCCATCAATGTTTCCACTTTTCAAAACAGTCTTGGAACTCACTTTTAGGGATAGCCTTAAGTACACTCGTCGCATTGTTTTCAACCGTTGTTTTGTCATCGAATCGGTGTCCTTTGAGTGGTTTTTTAGTTTTGGAAACAGCCAAAAGTCACAAGGGGCTATGTCGGGACTGTATGGAGGTTTTCGAAGCAATGCAATATTGTGTTTGCTCAAAAACTGCTGCACAATGATGGATGAATGCGCTGGCGCATTACCGTGATGGAGAAGCCAGTCACCACTTTCCCAAAAGTGCGGCCGTTTTCTTCTTACTGCATCACGCAAACGTTTCAAAATTTGAACGTAGTATTTTTTATTGAATGTCTGACCTGTTGATGTATATTCGTGATGTACAACACCTCCACAATCGAAAAAAACAATCAACATTGACTTCCACTGTGAAGATTGTTGTTTTGTTTCAGGATCATAACCATAAACCCATGATTCATCACCTGTAATAACTTTTCTAAGCACATTATCATCATTATTGACCATTTTCAGATTGTCCAGAGCGATTTCTAAGCGAATGTTCTTCTGCTCTGCTGTGAGCAATTTTGGGATGAATTTCACAGACACGCGTTTCATTCCTAAATTTTCGGTTAAAATTTCTGAAATGATAGTTTTTGGTATCCCAAGGTCTTCTTCTAGTTCTCGCAAAGTCATACGACGATCTTGTTCGATTTCAAGTCGCACCCGCTCAATATTATCTGCGGTTTTTGTCGTCGAAGGTCGGCCGGAACGAGAATCATTATCGACAGAAGTGTGACCATCCTTGAATCGTTTATACCACACTTTTATTCGTGTTTTGCTCACACACTCGCTTCCGAAGGCCTTTTGCAACATTTCAATAGTTTCCGAACTCGTTTTTCCGAGTTGAAATCAAAATTTGATGCAAATTCGTTGATCTTGTTTTTCAGTCATTTTTGACAATATCAAAATCCGACGAACGCGAAAAAGGCATTGTAAACAAAGGCACGCTGCGAATGAACTATACGTCCGGCAGGTGTCAGTAAGTAACCAATAGATTCGTGAGGCTGTACTGTTGACGTTTCTGTCCGGTAGAGGTCGCTCGAACACTATGGCGCGAAGATATAAACCTAGGCCCGATACTTTCCGGACAGACCTCGTATATCTATTTATCTATTTATCTATGTACAGTGCCGCTCACGCACTTTTACCCCCCCACGGGCAAAATCAGTCTAACTTCAAAGTTTTATATCTCTGGTAGAAATTAACGTACAGAGACGCGCGTGAGTGCGTTTGAAAGGTCTTTCGGAGAGCTTTCAAATGATATGATTCACGGTTGCCATCGATTGTTTTTTTAAATTTTGCAACAATTATGCAAAATTGAAAATTCTGAAATTTTTTTATTATTTTTGACAATTAGCCAATTTTGGAAAAAAAATCGTATGAAAATTTGAAGTACACCATTTTTTAGCTATTACCAAGCCCTATCTGAATCACTCATCAAAAATTTATTTTCGTCAAATATGACGCGCGCACGGGCATTTTTTCCTGGAAGTGACAGTTTTTTCAACATTTTTTATCTCCGTCAAATGTAACAATCGAAAAAAATTTATAGGAGAAAAAATGGTTGTTGTTTCACGTAGAATACTGCAATAATTTTTTTTTTGGTTTTTCGAAAAATTTTTTTTTTCGGTTTAAATTATTTTTCAAGATCGAAAAAAAAAGAGTTTTTTTTTATGTAATTTACGATACTTGTTATGTAGTATTATTGAATGGGTGGAAAAAAATTTTTTTTTGTGGTTTCTCATCTTTTTAGCGTACCGACTGTGAGAAAAAAAAATTGAAAAAAACCGAAAAAAAAAATTTTTTGAAAAACCAAAAAAAAAATTATTGCAGTATTCTACGTGAAAAAACAAACATTTTTTCTCCTATAAATTTTTTTCGATTGTTACAATTTGATGGAGATAAAAAATGTTGAAAAAAACTGTCACTTCCAGGAAAAAATGCCCGTGCGCGCGTCATATTTGACGAAAATAAATTTTTGATGAGTGATTCAGATAGGGCTTGGTAATAGCTAAAAAATGGTGTACTTCAAATTTTCGTACTATTTTTTTTCCAAAATTGGCTAATTGTCAAAAATAATAAAAAAGTTTCAGAATTTTCAATTTTGCATAATTGTTGCAAAATTTAAAAAAACAATCGATGGCAACCGTGAGTCATATCATTTGAAAGCTCTCCGAAGGACCTTTCAAACGCACCCACGCGCGTCTCTGTACGTTAATTTCTACCAGAGATATAAAACTTTGAAGTTAGACTGATTTTGCCCGTGGGGGGGTAAAAGTGCGTAAGCGGCACTGTATATATATAAATAAGGTTTTGAAAAACTTGGTATATTCATCTTTATTAATCCAACTATTGTGTGAATTATCGAATCCTAACCACTTTACAAATACTTGAATTCCACGCTATTTTATAACTTTCTCAACAAGATGTGACGGGTGATGCTATCGTAGATATCGCTCGCCCTGTTCGTCTCTCTCTCTCTCTTCCACGTGCTTTCCGTTTCGCCGCTGTCACATCGACATCTTGGTAGTTCGAACCAAGTATCGACGCTCGATGTGTCTTTGTTTCAGGTTTAACCCTTTGAAGCACAGTGTCCATCCTGATGGACACATTGATTTATTGCTTCTTTTGCCATTTTAGAACAACATTATGGATTTCAACAGGGTCTTTTGCATTCTTTCAGTTCATTAATAGTTCAAAAACATAATTTTGCAGTTGAAATCAATATAATGGGTTATTTTTTAATATTTTTAAATGAGCAAAGAAGAAAAAAATTGAATTTTTGGGGCGAAATTCATTATTGACACGAATAATGAGAGTATCCCTTTCAAATTTGGTATACAAAGGTTTTTGGGGTCGCTGAATAATAATTTGACATCAGAGTTCAAAAATTGTGTATCCAAGATGGCGGATCTAAAATGGCGGGCAAGAAGATTTCCTATATTGATACCAATACTCTAAAATTCATATCTAAAGGGTTTTAGGGGTCGCAGATAACGATTCTGATATCAGGTTTCCGAAATAATGCTTTCAAAATGGCGGATAGGTATATTTTTATATTGGTTTGAATACTCTCAAACTCATATCTAAAGTGCCTCAATCTCAGTGATAATCAATATCATACTAGTTTTCTGAAATTCTGCAGCCAAGATGGCCAAAGGATATGATTGATGTACATGCTTATTTGCATGACTTGAAAGTATAATATCTCAGAATAGTGTATACTTCTTTCACTCATTCTCGACATTACCCGGAGCTTACGACGAGGACGTGATGAGTTCAAGCTCCATTTAAGTTTTTTTTTGTATTTTTCATATTTTATATTTTTTTTGTATATTTTATATTTTATATATTTTTTTTATTTTTTATATTTTATATTATTTTTTATTTTTTATATATTATTTTCTGCATTTTTTATGTTTCATTTTCTGGGTTTTTATTTCCTCTTTTCCTCCATTCTTCCTGTAGGAGGATCCCCTTTGCATTATCAATAAATTTGTACTGTAATATTGTTACTGAGTATTCTTTGAAATTAGACATAAAAACATGTTCTTCATACAACCAGAGCAACAAAACTCATTACTGTCTATATGTGATGTTTTTGAAAACAATTTCTTTCCGGTAAAAGACACAGAGGAACATTACAAGTACTACAAATCCATCTCGTCTTCTATGGCTTATTTCTTGTAGAACAGTGGTTAAATCTTTTATATGTATCTGAGACTTATGGCATGTGAGCAGCATTAGAAAGTCTCTTTTCATCAGGTACTTTGATTTTTGCATGGCTTGGAGTATTTGGTGCTGTTCTTTTCCTACCTTTTGGAGTTGGGATCTTATGTACCACCAATTGTTCTACCAATCTCATTCGGAATTTTTTCAATGACAAAAGTGGTTTGATTTGTTTTTCCTTGTATAAAATGAATCCGTTACATATACAGAGATCGATGAAGTGCCAAAAAATTCTAAACCACCATTTTTTGGACTTACGATCAATCTGGTAAGTAGATATTGCACGATCCGCATAGTCGACATATCCCATGTGTGTTATAGTCTGAACACAAGACAGGACTGTTGACAGGAGTTAGAGTACCATCTTTTTGCCTCCGATTCACAACAGTTACTTCGGTAGGGTCGTGAAAATTGGATAAAAAGTATACTGGTTTTTTATCCATCCACTTTATCCATGTGAGTCCTGATGTCGAGGTCTTGTATTCGTACTCTCCAATAACCATTTTTTTATCAGACTTATTACTTTTGGGGAGATTCGCGCGATTAGATCGTACTGTGCCACATGCAAGGATGTTATCTTGTTTTAGAGATATTAGAAGCTCTACTCCTGTGAAAAAATTATCAAAATACACCTGGTGATTATGACCAACAAGGTCACGTGTAAGATCACGAACCACACGTGCTCCTAATTGTTTTTCAGGACTATCTGTTTTGCCTGTGTAGATCTGAAATTGACAAACAAATCCCGATTCATCTGCTCGGGTCCAAACTTTGTAACCACGTTTAGTTGGCTTGGCTGGCATATATTGTTTCATGCTACTCCTCCCCTTGAACTTGATCATTGATTCATCAATAGCTTGGTGATGGCTTGGTTTCCAGCATTCTCTGAATGTTTCAGAAAGATTGTGGAGAAGAGATCTTAGTTTATACAATTTATCGTATTCTGGATCTCCTTTTGCTGGTTCTTTTGAATTATCATTGATATGCAAATGAGACAAAAAAATCCAAAGCGATTCACAGTCATCAATGAAGAAATATATGAATCATGGAATTGAGGGCTATTAGACCAATAATCCCGATACGAAGGTAACTTCTTGTAACCCATATGGATATTGATCGCTATGAAAATTTTCAACTCATCTTTGGTGATATAGATCTCCTTTTGACTTCTTTTGAGAAATAATCAAATTTGTTTGCTCTACAATAACATCTAATAGAGACTCAGGGAACAAACAAAGAAATATATCCTTTGGAGAAGACGCGGAGTCAGGGATGATGGGTCCGTGACTCCTACTGAAAGGTAAATCAGTCTTTGGAATACTCGTCGATCTCCAAATTTCACTTTTATTTGAATCTGTAGTGGTTGTTTCGTCGTCAATTTCTTCTTCGTGTGCCTCATCTTCGAGAAGATTGTTGATTGAAGGGGCAACATGATCTACTCTGCGATCCAATACCTCATCTTTATCATTAGAATCGCACAACCCATCAACAGACTCTGAATGACTAGGAATTTCATTCACAATTCGCCTTCTTCTCCCCATGGTTACAAAATAAATCTCTTCTAAATTTATTGATATAGAAAATATGAAAATTGAAGAGTACTACGTAAAAATTGATTCCTAATTGGCGGGAAAAAATTCCCGTAAAACAAGAATATTATGAACACAAATATACAAAACGCCTATTTTGCTCTTCAACTAATATAGTGAATCCACTCCGGTCTTTTAGTCAATGAGTGTCAACAAACATATGGATGACTCCAGAAGCAAAGAGCCGATCTTTATTTATTTTTCGTAGGTCGGGGGTTAAGGGCCTTTTGGCGATTTGTATGAGCACCAAACACTTTGTATTGAATGTACTCTCCATGGGTCTGAGGGCCATATATATATATATATATTTTTTTTTTTTTGAGAGATTCATTCACCTAATCAGAAAACAAAATACTAGAATATTTGAAACAGAATACTAAATTATATTATCAGATTTGTTATCTGCACGACCGAAAACCCTTAGAAATTACGTTTCATGAAAATGAAGTCCCTAAAAATGAAATTTGATATCCGAATTTTTGGATCCGCTATTTTGGATATATTATTTCGGAAATCTGATATCAGATTCGTTATCAGCGAGCCCTAAAAGCCTTTACATTGAATTTTGAAGTATTCAGGCCAATATAGAAAATAAATGCCTGTCCGCCATTTTGAATTCACCAATTTGGATACATCATTTAGGAAACCTGATGTCAGATTCGTTATCAGTGACCCCTAAAACTCATTAGTTATGAATTTTAAAGTTTTCAAGCGAATATAGAAAAAAATCTATGTCCGCCATTCTGAATCCGCCATCTTAGATGCAAAATTCGAACAATCTAATGTCAGATTCATGATCAGCGACCTCAAAAACCCCTATATATAAATTTTCATCTAAATATCCTGGAGAGAAAAATGTATGCTTCAAAGGGTTAATTACAGATCGGCATCGATAGTTGGAGTGGAAGGAAATGAGTTCTTCCTAGAGGAGAAAAAGAGAGAGAGAGAGAAATAATGTCGCCAACGTGATCCACACATGCGTGCGTAGCCGGCGGCGCTTCTGTTGTACATCATAACCCGAAGAAATGGCGACAAATCAAAGTTTGCGAAAGGCTGTAAAAAGTTGAATTTTACGCTAAAAATTTTTTAGGTTCAATAAGTTTGTAGAGCTTAAAAATTATTCAAATTGTATTTTTTTATTTTTTTATAGCTCAAAAATTAACCGAGATATCTCAAAAATACCCAAACCGATACTATGGCGTCCCATCTTCCCTATGGTGCTCTAGGGTTCAGAAAAGGATTAGGTATGGTCATAACTTTTTAAGGCGAAAAAATATATCGAGTCCGAATTCCAATATCGTCGAAGGCATTTTTTCCATGCTTACCTGACAGAGCTCTTTGAGTTAATGCTTGCTCAACTAGGTATTCTAACCTTTTATTATATTTATAGCTGCAGAAACTATTTAAGAGTTTGTTATCTTTGTACAGAGAAAGGCGGTTTTTCGAAATTGTAACTCGGCCCGAGATTATATTTACAAAATTATTTGCGAAAAGAAAGGAAGACACGTATGCTCCAATTTGTAATCAACCTACTGACCGTGTAGATTGTGAAGTTTGCGTGCATGAGAACTTGGAATCAAAAAAAGAAGAGGGAACCCGATAAATGACGTTGTAAATTTAAACAATAAAAATGAATTTATTGCCGGTTATTTACAAAATAAAAATATATAAAAAAACACGAAATCGAAACAAAAATATAACTCACCAATACCGCGTCTTACATGGTGATCTGTCGAGAAGTGTCCACGAAGGGTGGAAGTCAACCACTACGGGCTAGCATGAGTGCACGCTTGTGCAGCAGTGAGCCACTTTATCTGTTCCTTCAACTCTCCCTCCATGTCAGTCTTTACACCTAAAGCCAGGTAAAATCTGCGCCATTCCTCACTTCCGGTTGCATCAAATCAGCATCTTAAAGAAACAAATCGGATATGAGTATTCCACTCAAGCAAACAGGTTTTTGTCCACCTTGGCGTTAGCGCGTACAAACAAGGAGAGGCAGCGGACAAAGTACAAATCGCAACAAAGCCGTTTTGCCCGTCACATATTTTTTAGAAATATCTTTATATAAAGTTTTTGTTTTTTATCATTAACGCTATTTGAAAGTGGAAAAATTGTGATGCTTTAACCTTTGATATGAAAAAATAAAGAAAAAGGAGTAAAAAATAAGAGTTCTTATTTTGAAAGTTACCAAATTATATTGTGACGCTCGTCTTAGTCATAGCTATATTTCAATTCCATTACTGTTTTCACGATCTAAATCTAAGAATTATAATTGTTATTCATTTTATTCTTTATAGCTCACGGAATTCGAAATGAGATTTACAAAAATTAAAGGCGTTCTGTTCAAATATGTTTTCTTGAAGCTAAGCAACTTTTGTCTGCAACATTTTCCACTAACTCTAACCACTTTCGAGAAATCTTTCTGGAAAAGTTAAAATGGTTACCCTGTATTTTCAAAATACTTGCTTTAAAACTTTGCATTCACGAATTTTAACAACTATCCTCTAAAAAATCATCAGTTTTTATATAATTGTAGAAATTATATTTCAAAAAAAATTTTTTTTACTTGTACGAATCTGGTTTTTTTGACATCTTTTATTTTGAAAAGGCTATTACAGTTATAATCCAAGGAAGAAATAAAATGAGCATAAGTACAAACATATTTCTGATGAACTTGAGCATAGCTGATCTATGCGTACTTCTAATATGTACTCCAGCAATTTTAGTGGAAGTCACTGCAAGTCCAGAAATTTGGGTATTAGGTGAAACTATGTGTAAGTATTCAATATTATGTACGACAGATTTCACTCTCTCTCTCTGTTTTTCTGTCTTTGTCTCTGTTTCTGTCTCGGTTCCTGTTAACCTATATTGCTTACTCGCAGTTGCCTATATTTTTTGATTAATCCTATTCTCTTTTATTTTCTCTTTCTTTCTTCCTTTTTCTTTTTTCATTACATGTTTCTGCTTTTTTTTTGTAACTGTTTATTTTTTCAATATTATTGTTACATCTCACGCAACGGCCGCGGATTGACAATAGTTACTCAATTGCGACTGTCTCTTTTCGGTCAACGCGTAAGCGTTTACCACGGGTATGAGACTAAGTAAGAGCAGGCTGGTAATCAAACTAAGGCGGTTACTAGAAAAATAACGATTAATAGAAATAGATTTATCTGAAGATTGACTCGTTGTATATCTCGTATTGCAGAATCCAGGGATGGAATGTAGCTGTATTAAGTAGACGCAAGACCTTTTCTAAGTTAGAATAACTGAGAAGTGGTATTTTACTTTAAATATTTATTAATCAGAACAAGCGATACAGAGACTTCCGGAGTGGAGTGCTAGGTTCACTAACAGGCGCTCTCTCATCTCTTTTATAGGGCAAAACATATTAAATTAACCTATAAAGGGTTACAGCCATAAGGAGAGTGCACATCACCAAGAACAAGGTCAGACTTAAATTAGGCATTATTCTAATTTAAGAAATTACCCCTCCATAAAAATTTAAATTTCCCGCTTTTATATAGCCTGATCTGTTCCCGACGTCACACGCCCGCCCCTGAAGAATAGCGACGCAGGGCTCTCGCAAGTTATACCCACTATTATTCGTTGTACAATGTGTTACAAATTTTATTTGAAACGCTTCCCGACACAATAATATTAAACAATGATCTATTGACGTACCTTGTAACAGGCTGCCGTTTAACCGTTAACCTATTAAACCTATTTGTTATTTCGGTCAAACGACGCCTTGTTATCTACGTGCCGAAAGCACGTCAACCTACCTTGTCCGGGAGTGCGCCTGCGCAGAGTTCCCTCGCCAATCCGAGTTGGGTTCCCCAACTCGCCACTTGGCGGCGCTGTCGCTCTTGGTTAGTAGCGCTCCTACGGCCGGTGCTGGAAACTCGGTTCGCTATGCGCTTCTATCAATATCCGCGCGATCCGTGCTACGCTACCGGCTTATTCGAATTGAATGTCAACAAACATGCATCCCGGACAAAGGAAAGACAAAGCAATAACTCGATTAGGAATAACTACTGTTCGCTTTATTAGATTAAATCTGATACACGGGGAATTTGCCGAGAGACTTGCGCACGCAAATATAATTGACAATAGGCCTGGGTGGGAGAGAGAGAGAGAAAATCGCGATCGCCGCGAACGCGACTAACCGCTCGCACGCTATAAATCATTTCTTCGCGCACGCTGCGCGGAATCGCACGCTAACAACAATGTAGAAAGTTGTGCACCTACCGCGAGATAGAATAGGATACGGTGACCAACCGTATCCGATACACAAGTCGTTGATTAACTGCTCCGCCGCTCGCTGCACTGCCGCTGTTACTGTTGTTGTTGTTGGTGGTGTTGCTGTTCTGCCCGCTATGCGTTCCTGCCGGGATTGCTGGTACCGCTGAGGTTATCGTCGAGGTCACTCTCGCAGCGATGCTCGTTGCCACCGCACTCGCCTCGCTATGCACGCACCCACTACAGCACTTTCCACCGGTAAACCCTGGCTTTCTGGATCTCACTCAAGAAATGTCCAATGTGTTAGTAGCACGAAACCGTAGAGAGAGTCTAGCCGGACTGAGTGACACAGTCATACTGGCTACTGAACTTTCCCCTCCCGGTCATTGCCCCTACGGGCCCTCTCTCTCTCTCGAACCGATCGCGGCTATTCTACTCAGCCGCTCATTAACCTACGCGAGTCGAACGATTTTCGGTAATCGTTGCAACCTCTAATAATGTTCCAATAAAAGTTTTCATTGAAACAAAAATAATTGATTTTATTATTAACTGTATATACAGGGTGTCAATTAAGTCCTCGGACGCCTGAATATTTTCTGAAGTACTTCAGTTCTTCAAAAGGTCAAGGTCATTCCTTTAGTAACTTTCAACGCGGAATCCGATGGTGACCTTGGATTTGACCTTGAGATTGACCTTCAAGGTTATTTCAAGGT